ATTGACGCCTTACGAAAAACTCAGGATTATGGAGTGTAAAAGTAAGGAGTACAGACTGTGAAAGTGTCCATAGAAAACCGTTAAACAAGGGTGGCGCCACTATAACTACGGGGTAAATTTTAAAGTACGCGCCGAAAAATATTAGTGGGATAGACGACTTTTCGAGGTTATATTTACTGAATAAAATTGTTTTATATTTTAGAGCTACTGAGCAGTTTAGCAGCACACTTAAACCGTCTACAACTGCTAAGTTCATTTCAGCCCAGTAGCTACTCCAGCGCTGTTGTGGAGAGTTTTTGAGCTGTTATTTACTGCTTACAGATGCCCACTTTTTCAACTTTTCTACTATGGGAGTTGGTACTCCTTGCTTCTACACTCAATAATCAGGATATTTAACCGAAACCATCGTATTAGTTTTAAGTTATTGTTGTTACTCTAATTATTTATTACAATAAATAGGTAGTTTTAAGTTGTCTTCTAGTTTTATAGGTAGGATTGGGATTGGGAGCCCAATATAAAATTTTTGGAATTTCATAAGCTTAGGTTAATCTGAGCCCGATACAACTATAAATTCGGAGTCAAAGATTATGCTAAGCATATACTCAACAAAATTTTTTGTAAGTAAATTCTGAGCAACGTCGAAGTACGGTCTATACTTAGATTAGACTTTTTGGCCGTTTCTGGAAGCTGACATAATTTGTCCTTACTCTGCATCAGCTTCTACTTCCTACCTCGTAGAAGTTTTATGGGATATGGAAATGTGAATTCGTATCGGTATCGTGTCGAATCGGGATCGCATCGATTTCAAATATTGTATTGTAGCCGCGCTGTCGTCGCGCCACTAGCACACCGAAACACACCGAAGCCTAAATCGCGCTATTAACATTCCGAAGCATAAACAGTATATATAGAACTTCTCCGAATTTCACACGGAGCATTGGCCGCTCCCCGGGCAGAACACCTTGCCCGGCGGGAGATCTTCCCTTTTCCTTCTACAGCCACAGTATTTATTACTTGTAAAAATATATTATCTGGCGAAAAAATCTGAATCATGAAATAGAGTGACGACCTGTTTACGACCTCCAGGATATCGATGGATGCAAGCTATTCAGGACCATTCTTTTTGTGTCATTTTTTTGGTGACACGATTGTTCGGTTGTGGACTTGTGAAGGGCTGTAATGATGATGATGATAATGGTGATTTAATGAATATTTTATTTTTAAAGAAATATAATTATTTATTAACAGACTTTTTCTGCTTTATAGCCTTTATCGACAGCCTTATACGATTCGGCGATATTAAAATATAGTAGTTGGATCCTTATTATTTATCTCTAAGGTTCGGCGATTTTTTTTACCAAAAACTGAACATTATTTTAATAAGTATTTATTTAGTTAAATAAAGAGTATTCGTTATTAAAGTGATCACCTTCTGAATACAATCACCTATAAGTTTCTACTTTTGTAGTATTGGTGAATAAATATGTTAGTTTTAACCTTCACAAACTCACTTCACTTTGCCGTGTAGTGGCGGTTAAGAATATCCACTACCGCAAATTTTCCCGTGGGTGTCGTAAAAGGCGACAGAGGGAGACAGGCAGGAGATGGGCAGCAGCATCTTCCTGATAACAGCAACTGTACGACAAAAAAACTGCAGTTACCAACCCGCTCGCCAAGCGTGGCAACTATGGCAATATACCCCCCATGAACAATCACACAAATAGACGGCCCCCAGTCCCCGGCGGCCCCGCTATTCCTGGCTACGGTGGCGACCATGGTAACGGGTGGGCTGGGGGTGCTAAGAATCTCCAGTGGAGGTTCGGTTGCCACCTACGACGACTCGACCTGGCAACATTTAACCCTGAGGACTGACGAGAAGATCCTGGAGCTGGAAGAAGAGATAGACAAGTTGCGCTGGAATATTATAGGATTATCCGAGGTCCGAAGAGAGGGGGAGGACACGGTGATTCTCGAATCCGGCAACTTGTTCTATCACCGGGAGGGCAACCATCTGTCCCAAGGAAGTGTCGGATTTATCGTCCACAAGTCTCTCGTCAACAACGTTGTAAAGATTGGGAGTGTGTCGACGAGGGTCGCGTACCTGATACTCAGAATCACCAAACGGTATTCGCTGAAGGTCATACAGGTTTACGCACCAACCTCGGCACATCCCGATGAGGAGATGGAGGAAATGTATGAGGATATTTCCAAAGCCATGCATTCCTCCAAAACCCACTACACGGTGTTGATGGGAGACTTCAACGCAAAACTAGGCACAAGAGAAAACGGTGAGCTGAAGTTAGGGAAATTTGGAGTAGGGCAACGGAACCGAAGGGGCCAGCAGCTGGCCGACTTTATGGAGAAAGGTCCCTCTTTCTCGGAGAAAGAGGGACTTTTTATGATGAAATCTTTCTTCCAGAAGCGGCCCCACAGGAAGTGGACCTGGTCGAGCCCCGACGGTTCGACAAAAAATGAGATTGACTTCATTATGACGACCAGACGCCAACTGTTCAGTGATGTCTCAGTGATCGCAAGGGTGAAAACTGGCAGCGATCACCGAATGGTTAGAGGCACACTGAACCTAAACGTTAAGTTGGAGAGGTCTCGTCTAATGGAGTCAACGCTCCGTCCCCCTCGTGCTCTAATCCAGAATCCCGAAAACTTTCAGCTCGAGTTACGTAACCGCTTTCAGTGCCTACAAGATTGCAATGCAGTGGACGATATGAATGACAAGCTCGTGGAAACTGTCCATGCGGTCGGAGCTAAGTTCTGCAAGACCCGCCGCAGAAGAACACAGAAACTCTCCGATCACACTCTTAATCTCATGGCTGTTAGACGGGAGATGAGGCTGCAATCGTCAACAGATTTGACAGCATACAGGCAACTGAATAGACAGATCTCCAAATGCATGCGGCGAGACTTACACAACTTTAATACTGCTCGTATTAAAGAAGCGATCGAGCGGAACCAGGGCTCCAAAGTCTTTGCCAGAGATCTGTCTGCTAGTAAGAGCCAACTGTCAAAGCTGAAGACTGAGTGTGGCAGCATCGTTTCCGGGACACCTGAGATTTTGAGTGAGATTGAGAGGTTCTATGGGCAGCTGTACACATCATCGTTGGAGCCACACGCAAGTGTGAGAAACGATCCAAGAGCAAGTCTTATCCGACACTATTCCGATGATATCCCGGACGTCAGTCTAAGCGAGATTAGAATGGCTCTTCAGCACCTTAAAAACGGCAGGGCCCCAGGCGAGGATGGAATTACAGCGGAGCTTCTGAGAGCGGGTGGAACACCGGTACTTGAAGTCCTTCAGAAGCTCTTCATTCTATTCCGTCCTCCATGGTGGCACTGCTCCAGAGGCGTGGAGCAGTAGTGCGGTGGTCTTGTTCTTTAAGAAAGGCGACAACGCTCTCTTGAAGAACTACAGACCGATTTCCCTTCTGAGCCGTGTCTACGTGCTGTTTTCGAGTCATTACGAATCGTCTCGCACGCGGACTCGACGACTTCCAGCCTCCCGAACAAGCCGGTTTCCGAAAAGGCTTCAATACCATAGACCACATACATACCCTGCGTCAGATTGTACAACAGACTGAAGAGTACAATCTGCCACTTTGACTGGCGTATGTGGACTATGAGAAAGCCTTTGATTCCGTCGAAATTTGGGCGGTGCTACAGTCCCTTCAGCGGTGCCAAGTTGACTGTCGGTATATCGAAGTGCTGAAGTGTTTATACAGTAGGGCTACGATGGCTATCCGAGTACAGAACCAGAGCTCGAAACCTATCCAACTGCAGAGAGTTGTAAGACAGGGTGACGTTATATACCCGAAACTCTTCACCGCTGCATTGGAAGACGTTTTCAAGCTACTGGACTGGAAAGGATAGGGTATTAACATCAATGGCGAGTACATCACTCACCTTCGATTTGCCGACGATATAGTCCTTATGGCAGAATCACTGGAGGACTTAAGCACTATGCTCAATGACCTCAATAGTGCCTCCCAACGGATAGATCTTAAGATGAACATGGACAAAACAAAGATTATGTTTAATGTCCATGTCACACCTATGCCGGTAGTTGTTGGGAGCACTATGCTCGAAGTTGTTGACGAGTACGTTTACCTGGGACAAGTAGTCCGACTAGGTAAGTCCAACTTCGACGGAGAGGTCAATCGACGGATTCGACTCAGCTCGTAGCGTACGGGAAATTACGACATATCTTCTCGTCAGGTATACCTCAATCTCTAAAAACTAGATTGTACAACCAGTGCGTGTTGCCAGTGATGACTTACGGATCTGAGACGTGTTCTTTCACTGCTGGCCGTATGAGGACGCTCAAGGTCGCTCAGCGAGGTATGGAGAGGGCTATATGGCTCGGAGTTTCTCTGCGTGATAGACTCAGAAATGAGGATATCCGCAGTAAAACCAGAGTGACCGACATAGCCCAACGGATTAGTAAGCTGAAGTGGCAATAGGCCGGCCATATAGCTCGAAGAACCGATAACCGATGGGGAAGAAAGGTTCTCGAGTGGCAGCCTCGTACCGGTAGGCGTAGTGTAGGGCGACCCCCCACTAGATGGAGTGACGACCTGGTCAGATATGCAGGAAGTCGATGGATGCAGGTGGCTCAGGACCGTGCTTTGTGGCATTACTTGGGGGAGGCCTATGTTCAGCAGTGGACTTGTGAAGGGCCGTAATGATGATGATGATGAACCTTCACAAAAGAGGACGTATTTAATTCGACTGTACGATTTTTTATGTGTGTTATCTCAGAACTTTTTTGTAGGTGAACTGATTTTGATGATTCTTTTTATATTTGAAAGCTGGTACTTCTCGTGTTCCATATAAAGATCAATATCAATCAATCAATCTCCTACGAGAAGTTTTTGAGTTATCATTTATAATGCCTATTTAATTGACCTCGAATACATTGGTGATGTATTCATTTTATTTATATTGAAGTCGGTTGTACAAAATTTTTAATTTGACCACTTGTATTTCAGAGGCAGACGCAATGGCGGAGCAAGAGCAGCAAGTGCGCTGCTCGTCCAGCGAGAGCGAGAATTTCGAGAAGATTGACTCGGAAGACATAGTAGTCTCTAATGTAAGAATAAGAAGCATTTTTATAACTCTTTTATCTGAGACATTTACTAGGCAGAAGGACTTTTTTATTTTACGACACTCACGGGATGATATGGTAGCCTTAGAGTATACACGCAACATTACTCGGCACTTATTAAAACAATAAACGGAAGTACCCATCACTTTTTTTATCAATTATAATTTTTTACTAAACTTGACGGCTGGGTGTAAAGTATAAAATAAAGTTACAGCCTATATACGTCCCACTGCTGGGCACAGGCCTCCCCCTCATTTCTGAGAGGGTTTAAGGGCAAGGTAGTGTCCGCCGCGCTGCCCCAATGCGTGTTGGCGAACTTCACATGTCTTCGAAATATTCTTTTTCTTATTCCTCAGACATGCAGGTTTCCTCGCGATGTTTTCCTTCACCGTTGAGCACGTGGTAAATCAGCACTTAAAATTGCAATTAACAATTTCATTGGTGCCGGCGGGGATCGAACCCGGGTTTCTCCCGTTCTGTTATATTTACAGCGAGCGTTAACCATCTGAGCTACCACGGCTCACATGGCTGGGTGGTCAAACAATATTTTCTCTGGTTTCTTACTCTCGCACGATACAAGTGTTTGGATATGGACAGTTTGCAGTCCGTCTTGGCTGAGCTCAAAGTAGCACCTTCTTACTTAGTTCTGCTGCGGAACAGTTTATCCACAGCATATTTGGTAATTTTCTCAAAAACATTCCTAAACTTATCTGGTGTTCAATACGCGGCTAATAAAACGACTATGTCTCAATATTAACATAGGCTCTCAAAGATAAGAAAGAGGAAACAAAATCAATAAGGTACGAACCTAAACGCACGAATTCGTATAATACGTAAACTAAATCCCAGTACAATGTGGGGCTTCATCGCCGCTTACTACCGTAGGATTGTAGTTAAGGGCTGGCTGATAATAAGTAAAAAATTGGAAGTGGAAAAGCTATGGATTCCCAGTTTCATGCCAGATTTCACGTATTCGAAGTTTTTTTTATAAAATAAGGGTGAGTAACGAGCACACAGTCCACCTGATTGTAAGTGAATACTGTGACCCATAGAAATCTATATCTACCTCGATTAAAAATCAAAATGTAGATGCGTTTCCACCCCTGAGGACTAAGATGAGATGCCTATTTTCCAGGAAAAAGGGTCTCCGGTTCTCTACACTCATCATACGAAACACAGCAGTATTCACTAGTATTCTGTGAGAGCGTGGTCCTTTCCCGGTCGAGTCGACCCATTCGTGCTATAACCATAATATAGCCGCAGCCTAGCTTAAGCTAAGCGGTTAACCACGTAAAATTTATAAAAACTTAGTGTATGCTAAAATTTAATGAAATATTTTTGATCGTTACATCAAATATTTGTCATGACCTCACGTTTCTTCGATATAACTCGTGAATATCCAAAGACACACCAGATAAGACGCGTTCAGCCTAATAAATGACAATAATAAACTTTTGAAATGGCCTTTGTCGTATGGCATTATACTGAAAATGGAAATTTCGAGGTGATACAGATTAAATAGTCGTACTATTTGCATTTACTAGCGCTGGCAGAGAATGCGTTTTCAATAAAAGATGCAGTTTCATTTAGTGGTGCTGATATATCCAGAACCGTAGCCGTGTGGTGGCGCTGTGGCGGTGTAAAAATATCCACTAGTCCAAATAGACCCGTCGGTGTCGCCAGATGCGACAGAGGTAAAAGGCCAGCAGCATCTTCCCAAATTGAACTAAAAAAGGTGCAGTTACCAAACCGCCTGCTAAGCGTGGCAACTATGGCAAATATCCCCCTTATAAGGCAATATTGGGGAGGCCCATGCTCAACACTTGACTTTAAATAGCCCATTAAATAATAATATATAATGAATGAAACAATGATTTTACCACGTTCTCGGCGGTGAAGAAACTCGACATTAATAAATTGTAAAAATGCATATCTGATAAATTATAGAGATATTCTGAATACGAGCGTAAAAATGCAGCGTAGTCAGTTCTCCTTACTGGAAACGAGACGTTCCATCTTAGTCCTCAGAGGTGACAACGCATCCGCGCTTTGATTCTTAGTCGAGAATAAATATAGAAGTCTATGACCCACAGCATCCACTTGCTTGTGCTTATTATTGGGACGTACTTTATCTTACAAAGTACTTTACAGTGCTGGTCAAAAACCTACTTTCAAACTGTTTTATAAAGTTGTGTCCGATTTAAACTATTTTCTGTAGGGTAAAAATCCTAACTTCATCGTCGGAGACGAGAGTCCTGAAGATGTGGAAGACGACGGCCCTTCTCACGAGGGGAGGGACTCCTTCCCGAACGCGCCCCCTACTAACATCAGGAGGATGATGACGCCGGCTCAGCAGCTTGCCCTGGCAGAGAAGAGGAGCACGCTCAGGTAGATCTGATAAACCTTCGATTATATATATATACAGGGTTATTTTGCATTAGCTGGCCAAATTTGCAGAGAAGATTCCGAACAAAGGGTGAAGACTAGAAAACTCAAACATTCTATCCTTTTTATATTTTTAATTCAAAATGCGCGGTAATGCTTAATAATATAATGTTTTATCTGATTTTACTGCGCACGCACACATTCGTAAGGGTCGATCGGTAGGTAGGCAAAACGTTGTTGCCCTCAATTGGGATAATTTCAAATAAAAGTAGAAGCCTTATTTGCTCGTATTTTCAAAAACTACAGTAACGGTATATCATGATTTATATATGGGGTATTTCAATCGGCGCGAGTAGGTTTTGGCGGCCCGTGCCGTTTCCGTTTTATTTCTACTAAACCCTTTATTTGAACTAAGTTTAAAATTTGGCTACTTTGAATAATAATCCTGTATATGCAATCAAAAAAAAATATATATAATATATATATATATATATATATATATATATATAAAATCCCGGGTCACAATGTTCGTGCATGCTAATCTCCGAAACCGATTTTAATTAAATTTTATAAATGTGTTACGTGTGTATTAACAATAATTGCTTGCTCCAAATTGACACATAGGATAGTTTAGATCCCGATAAATGACGCTCAATAATTTTTATTGCGATTTTAAGGATTTCTATATGACAAAGGTCATCCATCGAAAAGGACAGTAAAACGTCTGCCTGGCCAGCTAGTACCTATATTATGCCGGTGTTATTATTCTATGCCAGTAACAGTGACGCTCGCTCTATCTTCTGGGTGGAATATTTTTGCGATCCTGATAACTCCTAACTAGTGATTCAAAAACCAACAAACTTATATACTTCTTCCCCACTAATTTCACCCATTCATAATTACACGCTTTGGTAACATGTTTTATTATATAATCTATCTTCTATCTTCTTCTTCTATACATATAAGAAAAATATAATTTTCAGGTTTCTGTACATTATATATTTCTGTGACAATAATGATTGAGAGGGATTAAAAATAAGTAATTAAATACATTTCTATCATTTTTAGAATTGTCTGCCTGTCTGTTTGTTTATGAACGTATCACGTTTAAAGTACTTCAAAATCATAAACTTATCGTGTAACATTTAGTCTTTGTTTTATTAAAATCAATTCATTTTATCAAAGGTTTATATTAACGATTATCATTTTGAAATGTAGGTATGAAATTTTCAATGGTGAGTTGAGTTATTAATGCATTTTATCTAATGTCAGAAATCGTTATTAAATACCACAAATACTGTAATAAAAAACAATGTTTCCTCACAAAGATTAATGTAATACCATCTCAGTTAGATAAATGCAATAGTAAACCCGTGTCATCGATAAATTGTATAGTGCAAATGTAATGCAAGAGGGCGAATTTAGTTTTTATTTCCTGTACATGTGTCTTCAATAACTGCTGCTGACTTATATTTTAGTTATAGGCAGAATAACGCAGAATAAATATTTTTAAACGGGTTCTTTTTTGGGACGAGGACGAATTCGTCGCTCTGCCCTATTGCATGTTGACAAACTATAATTTAATTTAAAAGCTTTTCTTTAACTTCACTTGGTATGTATGTCCTGGAATTTTGCAATCGATATTTCACCAACGTCCACTGAAGCTATCGGGCTAAAATATGGCACACTAGTTTGGTTCTCGAGAAAATGCACGACTACTTATATAAACGCCGTCATTTTTAATCCAATGTGGCGGACTTTAGTAAGTAGCGATTTATAATTTCCACAGCAACACCTATGATATGGGTATTAAATAAAATGGCTTAATGAGAGAAACACAATAAGTAAGTAAATAACGCATAAATAACTAAGTAACGCCCAACACGCCGAATGACTCGGTTCACCTTTAACAGATCATGCGGGGGGAGATCTGTTCATGACTTTGCCTTGGCATATGGTCTGACACAACTGTTTACTTCGCCTACGCGGATTTCAGATGTGGAGGATCATGCATCTTCCCTGTAGGACCTTCTGCTGACTCTCATACAGACAGATACCAGGTATCTGACGACGCCCCTCTTGGCTCGAACTATTGTCTAGTCCGGACGTGGTGCTACTCACGCTGAAATCGCGGTTGCATTCTGCAGGCTTCCGCCGTGTTTGGCACTATAGGTCAGCCGATTGGGATAGGATGTGGTCTTTCTTTGCATCCTACCCTTGGTCATTTATGGGTTTGCTTCTTGCTGAACGACCCCAACGTTGTTGCTAATTCTGTCGCTGATGTGGTACTTCAGAGTATGAAACTTTTTATTCCTTCCTATGTGGTGCTCATCAGATCTCAGGTAGGCTTAGCCGCTCCTGTAAAATAGCATCATGCTATAAGCAGGAGTGCTACCGGGCCTGGACTGACGCATCAAAATCCCGGGATGTAAATACCAGCGTCCTTAAAAAGAAGTATAATTCCTCCTGCAGGTCCTTCAAAAGAGTTATTCACAGGCAAAAAAGAGAAAGACGGCAAAGAGTTAAAAGAGTCAGAAGAGTCACTAGGCAAACTAAGAGCACATAAGCAGAATTGGCGAGTGACAAGTTCACCTTCCTTCTGGAACCCGTGCATTCTGGTCTCTCGCCAAGGCTGTCCAAGGGAACTTCTGTCAGTCATCTTACATCTCTGCACAGGGCAGACGCCCCACTGGTCCACGCCGCAAAAGAGAAAGCCGATCTGCTACGTTCTTTCTTTGCGTCTAACTTGACTCTCGATGACACACCACCGACCATCCCACGGTGTGAGTGCTCCAATGCCGGATTTGCGGATCACACAGCGCTCGGTTCGCAAAGCACTCCTCTCCCTGGACATGCACAAGTGAAATGAAATGAATTGAAATTATTTTTCTTCAATATAGATTATACATAATACTTATTGAAAGTCATTTTTATATGTATTTACTACTGGTTCAGAAAAAAACCTCTGTCCTGGGAAGAACCAGCAAGAAATCCAGCAGGACTTTTTTTTAAAACATTCCCTTTAAAATAATTTATTTTCTACAATTTTTTAATGAGTTTTTAAAGAACCAGCATGGTCGCGATCACCTCATTCCCAGGGGTTATTTTCATAATGTTTTTTTAACCTTTTTTTGTACAATTTGTTTTTAATAAAACATTTAAACTTGTTTAATGACAAATTTTGTACATTTTTTGGGATTTTGTTGTAAAAGCATTGCCCCATAAACAAATTACTAATTCTGTGGAGTCTAGTAACTGGTATTACAAGCTTATGGTTGTTCCTAGTGTTTAAAGTATGAACATCTTTATTCTTATGAAACCTATTTATGTTTTTATGTACATATATTACATTTTTATAAATATATTGCGATGCCAAGTTAATATTTATTTCGAATTGCTGAGGACTTGTGCTCCAGACTTGGCACCGGTTCTAACGTGTATTTTCCGCTACTCCTACTCCCTAGGCTTAGTCCCGAAATCATGGAAAACGGCTTTCGTCCACCCGATCCCTAAAAAAGGCGACCGCTCTGCTTCGTCCAACTACAGGCCTATCGCCATCACCTCCTCGTTCTCCAAAATAATGGAATCCATTATAAACTGCCAGCTAATGCGGTAACTTGAGGTTCACCAGCTGATTAGCGACTTCTGGTCTACCTGACTAATAGATGGGCGGAGGTAGTAGAGTCCAAGGGGGGAGGCATTGGCCGTTAGTTTGGAATTTTTTTTTGTTTTTTGGAAACAAGGCATTCCATGGTCCTGAGGGTTGACAACGCATCTGCATTTTGATTCTTAATCTAGGATAGAAATGAAGATATCTATGGACTACAGCATCTACTTACCATCAAAGTACTGCTCCTTTGTCACCCTTATTCTATATAAAAAAAGAAATCAGTAAATTGTATACTTACAAAAAGTTGGTACGAATTCGGAGTGAAACTCATCGCGCCATCTACCGGAAAAGACCGTACAACGGTTCGCGTTTATTTTCATATCTAAATCTGCAAACAAACTGAAATGATTTTTTTAATTGCAGTAACTTAATCGCATCAATTCTCGACGGAAAATCAAAATGAAGGTGTGCTATCACCCCCGGGGGGCTGAGATGGATTGCTTTGTAGCCATAAATGAGATAGGATGACTTATTATAATTCTTCCATTAGATCTCAAGTTCTATTATTGTTCCATTGAGTTCGGCAAAAAGCTTTAACAATCATTTAAATATTACTTATTTTAGACCGACCCGTGTTCGAACTCAGTACCTCATGTTCAGTAGTCGAGCTTACGAACACTAGAAGAACGAGGTAGTCAATTAGTTTCACTGAGAGCCTGAGCGTAGGTACAATTATTACAACTTACTTGTTCATACACTATACACTATAATATATATTATATATATATATATATATATATATATATATATATATATATATATATATATATATATATATATATATATATAAATAAAACAAAGGAATTTCTTTTTCTGTTTTACTACCGCTTCACGCGGTCGTAAAAAGTTACAACGTGCTATGAATCATTTTTATTTTTTAGTGATAAGGACAACGGCCATGTGTATTATGTTGCTGGTTCTATAAACCTGTATTTAATACGTCATTGGATACTAATAAAAATATATAAACTGCGGCGTGATGCAGCCACTGACCTCTATATATACAAGTACGCTGGACTGGCTATACGCCGTGACATGGTGAAGCGATTTGATTTCCGCCATTTTGGCGCTTACAGCAGAAGTGCACGTCCACGGAACTAATACTAGGGATAAGACAGTGTACCAAATTATATCGATAAAAATTCTATACCCTACCTATACCTAAATAAATAGAATGGACTCTATGGATAGATGGACTCTACCCGTAACGCCCATTCTATTTATGTATCATATTAATATAATGCCATTATCATTCATCATCATTAAAACCTTCACAAATCCACTTCTGAACATAGGCCTCCCCCAAGGAATGCCACAAAGCACGGTCCTGAGC